TTTTTGAGAAGAGTCTCACTCTGTTGCCCTTGTAGAGCATCCAGTGGAGTCACAGCTCACAGTAACTTCAAACTCTTAGGCTCAAGTGATCCTCCTGACCACCCCTCCCCTGCAGATGAGACAACAGGCCCCCACCACATTGCCCAATTCATTTTACTGTTTTGTTTTGTTTTATTTTTCCAGTAGAGAGGAAGGGGAGGCCCACTTTCACTTAGGCTAGTCTTGAACTCCTGAGCTCAAGAGAACCACCCGCCTCAGTCCCAGGCCTCCCAGAATGCTAAGATTACAGTCAAGAGCTTTTATTATTTTTTGAGACAGAGCTCTCACTTTCTTGCCCTTGGTAGAGTGCTGTGACATCACAGCTCACGCCAACCTCAAACTCTTGGGGTTTGAGCAATCCTCTTGCCTCGGCCTCCCCCGAGTAACTGGGACTACAGGCTTCTGCCACAATGACTGGCTATTTTTAGAGACAGGGGTCTCACTCTGGCTCAGGCTAGTCTCAAACCCGTGAACTCAGGCAATCCACCCACCTCAGCCTCCCAGAGTGCTGGGATTACAGGTATGGGGCACCTCACCCTGCCCAGAGATAATATTTTTTAAACTTTTTCTTCTTTTCTTTTTTGAGATGGAGTCTCATTCTATCATCCTGGGTAGAGTGCCATGGAGTCATCATAGCTCACAGCAACCTCAAACTCTTGGGCTCAAGAGATCCTCCTGCCTCAACCTCCCGAGTTGTTCGGAATACAGGTTCCTGCCACAATGTCTGGCTAATTTTTCTATTTTTAGTAGAGATGGAAGTCTCACTCTTGCTCAGGCTGATCTTGAACTCATAGCTCAAGCAATTCACCTTGATTTGGGGAAATCCCATGTCCTACATGCTTCATTCACTTCACAGCTACTGAAGACTTAGGAAATTGGAGAGGTAGGCTCAGCACCTGTGGCTCAAGTGGCTAAGTCACCAGCCACATACACCTAAGGTGGCAGGTTCGAATCCAGCCCAGGCCCACCAAACAACAATGACAGCTGCAACCAAAAAATAGCCGGGTGTTATGATGGGTGCCTGTGGTCCCAGGTACTTGGGAGGCTGAAGCAGGAGACTCGCTTGAGCCCAGGACTTGGAGGTTGCTGTGAGCTATGATGCCATAGCACTCTACCCAGGGGGACTGCTTGAAGCTCTGTCTCAAAAAAAAAAAAAAAAAGAAATTCGAGAGGTAAATTTGGAATAGTCAAGACACGTAAGTAGGGGGTTTAAGCTTCAGTTCTCATGTTTAAAATAGTGATGTTAATAGTTACCTCATGGCTGGCTCGGCACCTGTGGCTCAAGTGTGGCTAAGGCGCCAGCCACATACACCTAAGGTGGCAGGTTTGAATCCAGCCTGGGCCCACCAAAACAACAATGACTGCTGCAACCAAAAGATAGCTGGGCTTTGTGGCAGGCGCCTGTGGTCCCAGCTACTTGGGAGGC